AATTTACGTGAAAAAATACTTAAGGGTTATTTTTGTTGACCACAAGCTTAAAGGAAATCCTGGTGGTGTAGTGGTTAAGTGCTACAGCTACTAACCAAAAGGTTGGCAGTTCAAATCCACCAGCGTGCTCCTTGGAAACTATGGGGCAGTTCTACTCTGTCCTCTAGGGTCACTGTGAGTTGGAATTGACTCAAGGGCAACGGGTTTTTTTTTTTTTTTTTGGTACAAGCTTAAAATGAAATCAATAGATAGACATGGAATGATGAAAGCCTACAGTTGCATTAATGAAAGGACAAGGTAAGGGTTCCTGTCCTCTGGACCCTCCTGGGTCGCAACCTTGGGGGCCACTTTTTAAGAAGGACATCAACAAATTGAGGATATAATGAAACAGGTGGGCAGGAAGTTGAGGGATGGGGAACTAAGCACACTCAGCATGGAAAAGGGAAGACAGGGAGACTTGAACAATTATTTCAGATATTTGAGCAGCTTTATTTAAACAGCTGTGGTATTAAATGGTTCTAATACGTATTCTATGATTAACAAAAGTGCAGTACTTTCACCAACGACTGGAAGTTTCAGGGATAAGGATTTTGGCTGAATAAGAAGAACGGATCTAAAAATGTCAATATTTTGAAAATAAAATTGGAACCCACAGGATTGCTGTGGGAGGGCAACTTGGTTAACAGTGTAGGAGACAGTTTGCCCCCATCTCCTCAAGTTGCAGGGACACACACCTCCTGAACCTGAAATTTGACTCTAAGGATATACATACCCAAGAGAAAATCTTCACATGTAGAATATAAGACACATACACTCACATGTAGAGACATGTACAAGGATGTACGAGAATAGGAGACATATACAAGAATGTTCATAATAGCAAAATCTGGAAACAATCCAAATGCTCATCGATGGGGTGGGTTTGTGAACAAACTGTGACATATTCTACTACAGTCAAATAAATTTAGATGAATCTTAAGAATATACTATTAAGTGAAAAAAGTCCAAAAGACTACAAACAACACATACCTTTTTTAAATAAAGTTAAACCACAAAAATAATAACATGCTTTTTAGTAGTATATATAAATTCAATAAAACTCTTCTTTAAAAAGCAAGATAATGACAGACAGGATAATGGTTTCCACCAGTGAGAAGGGCAGGGAGGTGGGATGTGGGGGAACCAGCAATATGGTTTCTTGTGGGTGGTGGGCTCACAGACGCTTATCGCATTTAAAAGAACTAAACAACCAAATCGGACCAGGCCAGGCATGAATCAATAATGAGAATGCGTCACAAACCAGTTAAATTCTGGCCATCTGAGGACCACTAAAAAAAGAGGGAGAAGGAAGGAAGGAAAGAAAGAGGGAGAAATGGAAGAAGAAAATTGAAGTGGCAGATTTGTGGCACAGTGAGCAAGCTCTTTGTCACCCAGATCATTTCAGCCAAAGCCAGATGGCTTCCCTAAGCAGTAGGTTTGCGAGCTGGGAACTGCACCAAGGCCCCAAGAAGGAGGCCAGTGGGCTGGAAAGCTGGCGTATGTGACCCTTGCCAAGCCACAACTCCTGCTGCTCAACTCCTGCGTTAGTCCAGAGGAAGAAGTTGCAGAAATGTGCTTCCCCTCACCCAGCTCTTTGCCCCTGGGGCCGTCTCCACCTGGAGAGGGCGCTTTGTTCCAATAGGAAGCTCCCTGCCAGGGGTGCTTTAGTAGGAATCTTGCCTTGGGTGTGGAATTGGACCAGGTGACCTCTGAGGTCTCTTTGAACTCAAGGACTCTTTTGGGGGAATATCAAGGTGAGTGGAAAGAGCTCCAAATCACACTTCAGGGGACAGGATTTGCTGCTTAAGCATTTCAACTAGCTGTGGGACCCTCAGGAGCCCTGGTGGTGCAGTGGTTAAGCGCTTGGCTGCTAACCGAAAGGTCAGTGGTTCGAACTCACCAGCTGCTCTGAGGGAGTAAGACGTGGCAGTCTGCTGCTGTAAAGATTACAACCTAGGAAACCCTATGGGGCAGTTCTACTCTGTCTTACAAGGTCACTATGAGTCGGAATTGACGCGACAGCAATGGGTGGGACCCTCAACCTTAATCACTCTAGGTTTGTTGTCTTCACCAGAAAACGAGCTAATGCTACTTGCCTGAGCTAGGTGACTGTGAAGGAAGAAAAAGCGCTAAAGATGCCAACCATTTCTTCCCCACCCTCATGCCCTTCCTTACAGACCTGTTGGGCACTGGAGGAGGAGGGCAGGGACAGAGAAAACACCATGGCAGGCATCATGCTAGCCGCCATCACGGGAAATTAGAAAGCTGGTGAAGGAAGCTAGAAGCTATCTTCTAGGGAGGGGAATGGAGCAAACCAACAGAAAAAAGCAGAGACCCAGTGGTTTAAAGACACATCAGAGGCTGGTGTCTTGCTGTCTAGTCCTGCGTTGTTTGAAATGGGAACCACCAGCCACACGTGGAGCTACTGAGCACTTAAAATGTGGCTTGTCCTAACCGAGATGTGCTGTGATTACGAAATACACACAAAACTAAGACGATTTAGTACGGAAGAAAAGAAAAATACCTTAATTTTTTTTTACATTGATTCCATGTTGAAATAATAATGGTTTGCATAGTTCTGGTTAAATACAATATGTTAAAATTAATTTCACTTTTTAAAAAACTTTTTAAACCGAGGCTACCGGAACATTTAAAATTACACTTATGGCTCCCATTACATTTCTGTTGGGCCTAGCAAGACCAGATTCTGTGAGCCACAGTCAAGCTTCTTGATGTTAGATTAGGTGAGCTATCCCCTTTCCTTTAAAAAACATCTCCTTTAAACAGATCTGCCTTAAAGAAAAATTTAGAAGGAAATATTTTTTCTCAGTGTTATTTGTAAACTCAAGATATGAGGCTGTATTTGCAGTATGACATAAGGGAACCAACACCCCCCTGCCAACACACACTATTTTAGTCTAATGAAAATTTTGCAGTGGTTATTTATAATTGGGGAGCCCTGCAGGCACAGTGGTTAAGAGCTACAGCTGCTAACCAAAAGGTCGGCAGTTCAAATCTACCAGCCACTCCTTGGAAACCCCATGAGGCAGTTGTACTGTGTCCTGTAGGGTCACCAGGAGTCAGAATCGACTCGACGGCAACAGGTTTTTGGTATTTGTAGCTGGCAGTATTTTTCACAGAAAAAGATAGAGAAAGAATGGCACTTGCCCTAAAGCGCATTAATAAAATCACGTTTTTAAATTAAAAAAAAAAAAAAAAACCGTAAAACTCCTTTTAACTTGTTTTGAGTGGGTCTCTGTTCCTGAAAACTAGATGGAAAAATGCCTTAAAAATACAGACATGGCTGAAGATCTTACTATTTTAAATTTTACGGTAAGTCCCTTGATTCATTCATTCTTTCTCAGAACAAATCCTACTGACCCTGTCTTCTAAATAGAACCTAAACCGACCCCTTCTCACCACCTCCACTACTGCAGCCTTGTCCACGCCACCATCTCTCCCACGCATGCAGGCTCCTCTCACTTCCCCGATCTGCCCTCCTGGCACTCTCTCTCTGGTTGCCTCTTAAGATACAGCAGCCTCCTTGCGACTCAGGCTCCCTGCTGCCTTAGGACTCTCGCACTGGCTCTGCCTGGACCTCCCTTTCCTCAGATGTCCACGTGCTCGCCGCCTCACTTCTTGGAGGTCTAGACTCAAGTGTTACTCTTCAGTGAGGTCTTCCCTGGCTGTCTTCTCTAATACTACAACTCTTTCTGGTAACACACACACGCACGCATGCACGCATACACACACACAGCTTTATCTCTTCTGCTGCTGTGTTTTTCTTCTTAGATTTTATCACCATATAATATACTATATCTTCTTTATCTGTCTCCCTCACCTGGAATGTAAGTCCTAGAAGGGCAGGTATATTTATTGTTTTTGTTCACTCTTATGTCCTCAGCATCTTAAAGAATGCCTGCCACATAGCAGGTGCACAAGAAATATTTGCGGAACGTGGAGGTCTCGGAGAGACTATCCTTGTGCTGACATTTGCTGTGTATTGTATGGTTGTCTTAGTTATCTAGTGCTGCTATAACAGAAATACTACAAGTGGAGGGCTTTAACAAACAGAACTTTATTCTATCACAGTCTAGGAGGCTAGAAGTCTGAATTCAAGACATCAGCTCTAGGGGAAGTCTTTCTTTCTGTATTGGTTCTGGGGGAAGGTCCTTGTCATCAGTCTTCCCCTGGTCTAGCAGCTTCTCAGCACAGGGACCCTGGCTCCAAAGGATGCACTCTGCTTCCGGCTCTTCATTCTTGGTGGTAGGAGGTCCCTTTCCTCTCTGCTCAATTCTCTCTTTTATATCTCAAAAGAGACTGACTGTAGATTGAGTCCTGCCTCATTAACATAACTGCCTCTAATCCTGCCTCATTAACATCACAGAGGTTAGGATTTACAACACTTAGGATAATCACATAAGATCACAAAATGGTGGACAGCCACACAATACTGGGAATCATGGCCTAGCCAAGTTGACACACATATTTGGGGGACACAATTCAATCCATAACAATGGACTTAAGCAAAGTTCATGGACAGAGCACTTTACCTTCACAGGAAATCTTTAACAGCCAATGAGTTCTCTAAGTACAACCCAATTATCAGAAGCATCAGTTTTCTGATACCACAAAATGGGTCACAGGGCTTGTGCTGTGGCTAAATTGGCATTTCTATGAAGAGAATAATCGCCCAGCAAATCTGGCTCCAGAGAAGTGTCTGGAGCTACCCTTAGGCGTCACCCCTCTCCTCACCCCTCCTGGCTCCTCACTATGAAGTGCGGACCAAGATGTCTGGGCAACAAGTGTGGTTTCCATCTTGTTGCCTTTCCAGAATGAAGCCAATTATGCTTCCTGAGAACTCGTTAGACCCAAACAAAGCTCAAAGTTTCCTCACAAATTAATTTGCTTACATTTTCACTCAATGAATACTATATATTTTTTTCATCTTCACAACCTACCTTCCCAAACGTTGCTGGGTTGACTTGATTCTGAGCGTTTTGCCCGCAGGTTTCCATGTAAATCTCATACACGAGACAGCGAGGTACCCTGTAACCTTCACAGATGCAGAAATTATCCACCAGCCTGGGGGGGAAGGAGGACAAGGGAGAGGAAATTGGCATCTGTTTCTCTAAAGCAGGACCTTCAGATCAGAACGAATGGTCAGACACGAGTGTGGGATCCAACTAAATGAAATACGTCTCATTTATCAAATGGAACCCAGAAAAGTACACCAGCCAGCACCATAACTCTTCTGTTCTCAGCTCAGTGTTAAGTGTATTGATTATCAGCATGATGGTTTTTTGTTTTTGTTTTTAATTAGCAATAATATTTCTGCGGAGAAAAGCATGTTAAAAAGAAGAACAAATTATCGGGCTCCACGAACACCGTATCACTCATATACCATTAAAAAGGTCACAGCCAAGAGCTAAAATAATAAAGTAGAGAACTACTTACTTGCCAAGACACAAACAATACCCTCACATAAACTCCATCAGCTCCACAAACCCCACTCAGAGTCCCTCAACCCTGCAGGTTACTCTGGGAGGCGGGTGTGGCTTCCTAATTCATCCCAGTTTGCCTGGGGTGGACATGTGGTTCGCAGCTGCTCTTCCATCATCCCTGTACCGCGGTACCAGTTCCTTGCATAGTTCTTGACTCCAGGTCATTTAGGGCCAGCCGCTATGTTTTGCTTCTTTGAACTGCAGTGCGATGCAGAAAGGAAGACACCGGCAGACAGAGAGGAGGTGAGCTCTCACTCTCCTTTGTCTCCTGTTTGTTACAGAGCCGAGCAGGAGGCCCCGGTGCAGACGGTTAATGCGTGTGGCTGCTAACTAGAAGGTTAGAGGTTTGAGTCCACCCAGAGCACCTCGGAAGAAGGGCCAGGCAATCTACTTCTGAAAATTCAGCCATTGAACCCTACAGGGCACAGTTCTACTCTGACGTACGTGGGGTCGCCATGAGTTGCAAACAATCAACAACAACTGGTTTTCCAACTGGTTTACAGAGCCACACAATACTCGAGTGGCACCTGCAGTGCGTGTGGCCACGCCTCACGGTGGGATCTTCAACTGTCTAAATACTCCTGGGTGTGGGGCTGGTGTGGGTGCCCTAGCAAAGAGGGTGGGCACCCAGGGGCTCTGCCTGCAGCTCAGAGATCGCAACTTAGTCCCGGTGGGGATAGCCAGGCACCTGTTCCGGCAAGAGGTGTGCGAGTGGGAGGGGGAGGGGGAAGGGGCAAAGGGTGAGGACGGCCTGGGTCAGAAAGTGTGGGTCCACACTGATTTCTAATCCCCACCTTCCTTCTCCTGGTGTGGGACAGGCGGTCAGGTTTCTCCTTGTTCTTTTACAGAAATACATAAAGGAGGTCAGCACAATTTTTAAACAGACATTTTTTTAAATAGGGAACATACAGACAACATGTCTTCTGTTTTCTTATTGCTGCTGTACAGCTTATTTCTGGGATGAGGCATCCCCGAGGCCTCCACTTACTTTCCTAAGAACTGAAAACCAGAGTCACAATTGTTAACCCCATCGACTTTCCGGAAGAAGGAAAAATTGATATATAGGCTATGGAGTCTCTCACCCAAAGAGGGAATTTTCTGAGAGTTTCCCATAGCATCAGCATGGGATCCAGACACCTTAGACACTTCACAGGGGTTTAAATATAGCTGCTACTGCACCCAGTATTTAGCTAAAGGTTGAATACAGGGTGCTATTTCTTTTGTTAAGACATCACTTGTTGATACATGAAAAACCCTGTACCTTGAGGGGCATGGAGCCCTGGTGGAACAGTAGTTATGAGTTCAGCTGCTAACCAAAAGTTCAGCAATTCGAATCCACAAGTTGCTCCTTGGAAATCCTATGGGGCAGTTCTACTCTGTCCTACAGGGTTGCTATGAGTCGGAATCTACTTGATGGCGACAGGTTTTTTGAGGTATCACAGGAAAATGCTGGCTACGCTTGGGGAGCTACTGCAGAATGTGGTGTGATCAAGTTCAAACAGACCTGTGGAAATTCAAACTCATTTTATTTATTCATAGGAGTCCCTGGATGGCGCAAACAGTTGAGCGGTCAGTTACTAACTGAAAAGTTGGCGGTTGGAATCCACCCAGAGACACCTCAGAAGAAAGGCCTGACAATCTACTTCTGAAAGAGCACAGCCATTGAAAACCCTGTGGAGTGCAGCTCTACCCTAAAACATACAGAAATGACTCAACGGCAACTGGAACTGGATATTGATTTGGTCATGGAAAACAGTCTCCTTAAAAAAGAACGGTGCCATAAAGAATGCCTGCTTTGAGCACTGTGGTCTTTTAAGATCTATCTATACGGGATCAAATTGACAAAGCAACTTGAAAGATTAGACAGGAAGCTTAGGGGGCAGTGAATATATGTTAATGGAGGAGGAACCACTCAGGCAAAGAGGGGGCGAATCGTTGCCCAACTCGAAGATTGTAATCAATGCCACTGAATTTACATGTAGGCACTGTAAAATTAGTGTGTGATCTGCTGTGTATATTCAGCAACAACAAAAAAATAAATTATTTAATTTAAAAAAAAGAGCTCTACAAAAATACTCCTTAAAATGAACTCTAGTTTAAATTTTTGCTAATTGTTCTTTCCGGTCACAGACATACATTTGCTCGAATCCCCCATGGACTGTTGTTCTATTGCAAAGTGACATTACTGAGTCTGTTATCTGGTGGCACAGGTAACACCCAATAATGATAATAATACAGGTCTGTGGCCAAAAGTTCTTCCTATGCCGTACACCTAAAGGGCTGCCTCATAGGTTTGGAGCCTTCTGTTGCTGCTGGGTGACTTTGCTTCTTTGATTCTGGTGCCCCAGCAGATTCACTCCCATTTCTGACTGTCTGCTTTTGGTTGTTTCTCAGAAGTTCCCAGCCAAGTCTCAGAGGCTTGCCTGTGGTAGGCAGTCAGCATACATTAACTGGACAAATAAATCAAACCAAACCTAATGCCGTCGAGTTGATTCCAACTCACAGCAACCCTACAGGACAGAGTAGAACTGCCCTATGGGGTTTCCAAGGAGCAGCTGGTAGATTTGAAGTGCCAACCTTTTGGTTAGCAGCTGAGCTCTTAACCACGGAGCCACCAGAGGGCCAATGAGTAGTTTTAAACTGGGCTTTAGTTAATCCTGCAAGGGCGTCTCTGCTCAGGTTCATGCTGTCCCTCCACTGAGACAGTAGTTGTTTTAGGCTTTAGTCTCCACGCACACAGGAAATTGCTGTGACTATCCCCCAATGCTTTGAAACCTCACAGATCCAGGTTTAAATCCTGACTCTGAGACTCCTCAGAGTTTTTGTGACCCCAGCTCACGGTGACCCCGTGTGTGTGAGAGGAGAACTGTGCTCCGGAGGGTTTTCAGTGGCTGATTTTTCAGACGTAGAATATCAGGCCTTTCTTCTGAGACGCCTCTGAGTAGACTCAAATCTCCAACCTCTTGGTTAGCGGTCAAGCACGTTAACCATCGCGCCACCCAGGAAGTCACCTTTGGTGGTATATGATTATAAAGTTTGTTCAAGTTAGAGTGAAACAGGTCACAGCAACCCTATAGGACAGAGTAGAACTGCCCCATAGGGTTTCCTAGGAGCGGCTGGTGGATTCCAACTGCCGACCTTTTGGTTAGCAGCCGAGCTCTTAACCACCGAACTACCAGGGCTCCGAATTTATTGGAAAGCTGCATAATATCAGTATTTTCCAGGTTTGGCTGTTGGACAAGGTGGATTGCCAAGATCTCGAGAACATTCATGATATCTTCCTCGTGTCGGGTGGCGAATAATGTTGATGCTCACCAGCTTAGGAGGACATACGCCAAGTTCAGGGTTCTCACGTTTTCTGAGTCCTCCTTTTCATCACAAAGAGAAATGCAGTGAACTGGCACACACTAGGAAGGGATCACAGCACCCTTTCATTCAGCCTGAGCAAAAGCCGAAAAACCAAACCCATTGCCATCAGTAGATTCCGACTCATAGCGAGCCTAACAGACAGGGTCGAACTGCCCCATTGGGTTTCCAAGGAGCGCCTGGTGGATTCAAACTGCCGACCTTTTAGTTAGCAGCCGTAGCTCTATAACCACTACACCACCAGGGTTTCTGATCAAAAGCTACCATGAATTCTGTGCCTTTCAAAATAAACTCGCATTTTATGAGCTACAACAGAGCCTGTAGAGATTTGAAAACGTCGTATTTATATGTGGGAGACAGTTATTCAGTCTACAGGCAGTGTTCAGTGTGCATGTGGATTTGAAGACGACTGGGGTTTCCTCTAGGGTCCGTGGGTGGTACAAACTGTTTGTACTTGACTACTAACCGAAGGGTTGGCGGTTTGAACCCACCCAGTGGTGCTTCGGAAGAAAGGCCTGGCAATCAGCTTCTGTAAAGATTACAGCCAAGAAAACCCTATGCAGCAGTTCTACTCTGTAACGTGTGGGGTTGTCGTGAGTCCCGTAGGCTTTCCGCTGAGGTTTGAGGCCAGGGAACCCATCCAGTCGGACCTGCTGGGTCTGCATGGCCCCCGCAGGGGAAGTCAGCTCACAGCCAGCTCTTCATCACCCCTTTGTACTCCCTGGATGGCTGACCACTTCTCTCTCCGTTTCTGCAGCTCGTGGAACAGAAAGCTTTTATTGCTACGCAGATGTTGCTGTGTTCTCCGAGACTGTCCAGCCTTCTGTGGGGCCTTTCTTTCTCTTTGGAGAATTTATCATGTGCTGATGACAGTGGCACTGATGTCTCCAAGAAATCTTGGGGGCCTAACCAGCGACTAACTGAAAAAAGAAACAATTGGAAGTAATACTGAAAATGGAGGGTTTCTGCCACGGGACAACAATTGGCCCCTCTCGGGTCTTCCACTGGGTGCCTGCGTGAGCTTGCTCAGCTGTGTGTGTCTGCTGTTCCTCTGAGTGGCTGGCCCCCTCAGCCATCTTGTACATCCTCCAGGATGCCAAGGCTCTGGATTATAGTCTGAGGTGCTACCTTTTCTTTTTTATAGTACTTTAGATGAAGGTTTACAGAAAAAATAGTTTCTCATTAAACAGTTTGTACACATATTGTTTTATGACACTGGTTGCCAACCCCATGACATGTCAACACTCTCCCTTCTAGACCTTGGGTTCCCTATTACCAGCTTTCCTGTCCCCTCCTGCCTTCTAGTTCTTGTCCCTGGTCTGGTGTGCCCCTTTAGTCTCATTTTGTTTTATGGGGCTGTCTAATCTTTGCCTGAGGGCTGAACCTCAGGAGTGACTTCATTACTGAGCTACAAGGGTGTCCGGGGGCCATACTCTCAGAGTTTATCCAGTCTCTGTCAGGCCAGTAAGTCTGGTCTTCTTTTGTGAGTTAGAATTTTGTTCTACCTTTTTCTCCAGCTCTGTCCGGGACCCTCTGTTGCGATTCTGGTCAGAGCAGTCAGTGGTGGTAGCCGGGCACCATCTAGTTGTACTGGACTCAGTCTGTTGGAGGCCGTGGTAGCTGTGGCCCATTAGTCCTTTGATCTAATCTTTCCCTTGTATCTTGTTTTCTTCATTCTCGCTTGCTCCTGAAGGGGTGGAGTATCTTAGATGGCTGCTCACAGGCTTTTAAGACCCCAGATGTGAGGAGCTACCTTTTCAATACCAATATTAAAGCCGCCAGTGACAATGATCTGTTAACTTCTGCCTCACTTTCTGGAGGCCTAAAGATTAACCCTCCATGACGAAACGACTCCCCTCCTCATCCTCTTCCCAAACCTGAAGTGCACGACCCCTGTCTCAGAGGCCTGTCAGAGTAGGAATTCGTACCATGGGACTTGAATTAGTTGGGGCTCACTGCTAAATGGGCTATGTTTGAGCCCATTGTTGCAGCCACTGTGTCAATCCATCTCGTCGAGGGTCTACCTCTTTTTTGCTGACCTTCTACTTTACTAAGTCCTTCACAGGGACTGGTCCCTCCTGATAACATGTCCAAAGTACGTGAGACAAAGGCTCGCCATCCTCACTTCCAAGGAGCATTCTGGCTGTACTTCCTCCAAGACAGACTTGTTGGTTCTTTTGGCAGTCCTTGGTATATTCAGTATTCTTTGCCGCCACCATAATTCACATGCATCAACTCTTCTTTGGTCTTCCTTATTCATTGTCTAGTTTTTGCACGCGTATGAGGCCATTGAAAATCCCACGGCTTGGGTCAGGTGCACTTTCGTCCTCAAAGTGACATCTTCGCTTTTCAACACTTTAAAATGGCCTACACCACCCTAAGGACCTTCAGTGACCATTTGAAGCAATTTAGGGCACCTGCAGGAGTCCCTGAGTGACTCCTAACCAAAAGGTTGGCAGTTTGAACCCACTTAGAGGTACCTCGGAAGAAAGGCCTGGCAATCTGCTTCCATTCTATCAGTCCACTGATGACCCTTAGTAGGATGTTTAGGTATTTTTTGAATCTCTAATTGTTCTTTCAAACCTCTGAGTCTTTCAAGTCTTGGAAACTCTAATTTACTAAATGGTGACTTTCAATAGTTAACAAAGCCATACTCCCGAGTTTTTTCTTGTAAGAGAGAGCCGATGGGCTGAGGGGTCTGGGTTCGTGAGTGTGAAAGAAATCAAGTGCTGCTGTGTGGCTCTGTGACAACCGGCATATTGTTCACTGTTTATTCTTCTTCTTTTCTTCCTCTCGTGTGAGATAAAACTTGTCAAAGATCTTCTTTTAGGGAGAAGTGGTAACTGCTTAGGCATTTTAGGGTTATAACAACAAACACACCCTTCATTTTTCTCCTTCACTCACATACCTTTCAGAAAGTCTTTCCTGAGAAATATTCCTTGAAACGTAAGAAAAATAACGTAGTCACCTTATACAAGTAAAGTTCTAGGGCTGGTTTCAATTATTTTCCTATTTATCAAAAGCTACAAACCCATGAATTGGTCAGTCCCAAGTGCTAACGGTATTTTTCTTTCCAGTTTTTTCTATTTAAATAGCCAGAAGTGAATTTCACCAAAAAAAACAAAAACCAGAAAACCACAACCGTGTAACGCACTGTTAAATCTCAAGTTTGCTTTGCCTGAAGTTAGAAAACACGCCACACTGGGTTTCATACTGAAAGAAAATGTTTCCTCTCCGCGCCAACGCCACGTGCTTTCGGATGTACAAGGAAGCGCCGCTTCAACCAACAAGACCCCCGGTGGGGCTCAGCCTGGATTGCTTCCCGCCGGAAGTGGGAGCATCAGAGAGGCCCACAGATGGTAAAACAACACTGTCCCAATCCAGACTGCCGACCAAGAGGCCGCGTGTGTGTGTGTGTGTGTGTGTGTGTATGTGTGTGTGTATATGCCGTGTATGTGTGTATGCCGTGTGTGTGTATGTGTGTGTGTATGCCGTGTGTGTGTGTGTATGCCGTGTGTATGTGTGTGTGTGTATGTGTGTGTGTGTGCCGTGTGTGTGTGTATGCCGTGTGTGTGTGTGTATGCCGTGTGTATGTGTGTGTGTATGTGTGTGTGTGTATGTGTGTGTGTGTATGCCGTGTGTATGTGTGTGTGTGTATGCCGTGTGTGTGTCCGTGTGTGTATGTGTGTGTATATGCCGTGTGTGTATATGCCGTGTGTGTGTGTATGTGTGTGTGTATGCCGTGTGTGTGTGTATGTCGTGTGTATGTGTGTGTGTGTGTATGCCGTGTGTGTGTGTGTGTAAGCCGTGTGTATGTGTGTGTGTGTGTTTGTATGCCGTGTGTATGTGTGTGTGTGTGTGTGTGTGAATGCTGTGTGTGTGTCCGTGTGTGTGTGTCCAGTCCCATCGCGCCGGGGCAGCGTTATAAGGTGCTGGTCCTGGGGGTGACCGAGTGTCCTTTTAATCCTATTATAAGGCCAGGAACGCAGGCTGTCGCTGCTCACACTTGACATTGGCTGGAGGTCCTGAGGGGACAGTAGAGCTGGGAGCGACACTTCCCTCTTTCTGGGCTCCCCCTTCTTCCATCCCATCGGTCCGGAACGCCCCCCAGTCCCGACCTGGCCCCCCGGCTCCCAGTGGGAAGGCGCCCGGCTTCTCACCACTGGATGATGGCGCTGTGCAGGCCCCGGCTGCTCCTGCCGCCCGCGGGCGAGGCCAGCACGCTCTCAGCCATGGCTCGGA